ACACTGCTAGTGCAAGTATGAAATGAACAATTAAAAGAATGAAACAAATGAGACTTACCTTTCCTGCACTCTTGTAACGCTTGGTCAGACCTCAAGCAATCCAGGGCTTTATAGTACATAATATTTGAATTTACAAAAAAGGGAACAGGGTCACGAATCAATTCTTCACCATGTTTCAGAAACTGAATATGGAGGAATTGAAAATTGGTGACATCAGATACATGACAGTCAGCGTCGACCCAAAAATGATTAAAGTAACTCATAGGCAAACCCCAACGCACAAGATTGTCACGAAAAACAGTATAACTAGTTAGATCAAACTCAACACGGTGATCAGCATCCCTAGTAGAAGCAGACCATATCAAATTATGTATGGACAAGCAGCAACCAGAATTGCATTTCTTATCTACATGACTCCAAGAAGAATCTGTATACTTAGACGTATACTTCTGATAAATGAATACCGGCAGATAGGAAAGTGCACACATAACAGACCCATGGGATACCAAACCAGATGGTACCTTAAATGGAACAAATGGAGGAGATAAAGCAGACTGAACAAATGGAGTAGATGAAACAGACTGAACCATCAAATGAGATGAAACAGACTGAGTTGAAAGAAACTGAGAAAAAATGAACCGAGAAAACCTTCCAGGAGAAGAAAACAGTGTTGCCTGAGGACACGTTGTTGCCTGGGTGCGGCGGAGGTGAGAAGACTGACAACCAAATACACGACGGGGGCGGAGAGAGTAACGACCGAGGATCATCATAATTTCGTTTCGGATTCTGCTAGAGTCGATTTCTGTTTAGGGTTTCTGAGAGTTTGAGAGTGTTTTAGGTGCGGATACTTTCTACAACAGATTGTTTATGAGAGAGAGGTTGTGAGGGTTTGAGGTGATAGACTGGGCCTTACTAGACTACATGGGCCTTACCATGTGAGTTGAGTAAAGGCTGGCCTTAATAAGTTGGGCCTAAACCAAATCATTTAATATATACAAAAAAATAAAAAATAAAAAAAAAATCTAAAGAATAAATATATTTGGGCAATTCGGGCCTGCCTGAATATTGAACAAAAAAACAAATAAGAATGAAAAATTAAAATATAAAAAAAAAATTAAAGGGTTTTTCTACTGAATAAATATTCAGTCACATAATCATACCTTCAAATTTTTCTTCTAAATTTTACATATTTTTCATATCGGCTAAAATTTTTATAAATTAGAAGTTTGGATGAAACTTCTAAAATACAAAAATTGTAAGAGATATGAATTTCAAAAGATCATAGATCATATGCATGAATTTGGGATGGGCATCTCCATGGATAGTAATAATTCCCCCATCTCTTGGCATCTTGATCTTTTGTTGTAACGAAGAAGTTTGGGGGATATTTATTTGGGATGGTTTTGGGGAAATATTCTTTTGCAGGGCAGTAGATATGATGGTATGATGAAAAATATACTAGTGGGGTGTTTTTATAGTGTTGGACTAACCCTAATTGCCAGCTAATGACAATAATTGTCATTTAAGTAAAATAAGTATAAATATTTATTGGGTAGAGGAAAAGCATTCGTTGCACCTACCTATAAAATACTCCATAAAACACGGCTTAGAGATATCAAATCTATCTTGCCAAACATAAAAATCATACACCCGTGAGTGGTGAAGGGTCCCGACTAACCCCTAATTAAAAAATTGACAATAAATGTCATTAATAAGGCAACCGTTGCACCTACACCTATCCTAAAGGATGAATCCAATAAACATCAAATCTTATCTTACCAAAGTATAAAAACATGAAAATAACATGAAAAAGAGCCACACTCGTGTGGGTCCCACCTATAAAATCTGAATTATTTCTTTCACATTTTAATATTCAAAATGCTTAT